CTCTCCCGGGGGCCTTGGGAAGTTGCTTAGCCTCCTGTGCCTCAGTTTCCTCAACGGTGATACGGAGCTAACAATCAGTATTTCACAGGAGGAGGAAGGAGTCGAACGCATTTGTAAGCCCCGCTGCTCTTTGAGGCGCTGCATGGAAGCGAGGTGATTGTGAAGCTGAACAGCCAGAATGACCAGGGAGGGTAAGGAGGGAGGTAAACGGTCAAGGACGACGTGCAACCTGGAGGGTGCTGTGCAGAGTGTGCGGCTGGGAGGACCCGGGTCCAAGTCCTGGCCTGACTGCTTTGTAAGACCTTGGGAAGTCCCTTTGCCTCTCTGAGCCTTCATTTGCTCACCTGTAAAACGGGACCACTCCTCATAGCCACCGTCTACTGTACTTACAACGCATGCGCACTCCATGCTATCATGTTACCATGTCATCTCTGCCTTGTAGGAAACTGGGGCCCAGAAGAGTGAAATCACCTGCCTGCGCTAGAGTTGGGGAGCTGGGATTCAAACCCAGGCAGGCTGGCCTCAGTCAGGGATATCCCACCTTGGCCACTGAATTCCTGGGTCCCAGTGTGTTGTACTGTCCAATGGAGAGGATGGAGACCTTCAAGGCTGAGGTTTGAGCTGTTCAAGGACAGGGAGGACCCAGGAGGACACCCAGGAAGGAGCCCCAGGCCCAGGTTCTTCCCCTGGCCATAGCAGCAGGTGTCCCCAGGGCCTCAGAGAATTCTAGTCACTCATTCATTCCTGCTGTGTGGGCTGGACAGTAAGGGTAAGAGTGCTGAACTAGGCCACAGGAACCCTGCGCTTGAAGAGCTGCTGTTTTCATGGCAGAAGACAGAAAACAAAGTAACAATAAGGGACAAGAGAAAGTAAAGGAAGGTGGTTGAAGAGTGACCGGGATAGAGCCTACCTTGAGATGAGGCAGTCAGGGAGGGCCTCCCGGAGGAGGTGACATTTGAGCAAAAGGAAGAGAAGGACTTGGCCATGGGAAGATCTGGAAAGAGGGTTCCAGGCAGAAGGAGCAGCATGTGCAAAGGCCCTGAGGTGGGAATCAGCAGAGTGAGTGTAACTGGAGGAAAGTGAGAGGGAAGTCAGTCTCTTGGAAAGAGGTCAGGAAATCAGGGCCAGGAGTTTGAATTTCAGTCCTTGTCCAGGTAGGGCCAAGAAGAGACTTGCCCAAGGTCACACAGTGAACTAAGGGTGGAGATGTGCTGTGGCCTCAAGCACAGGGCGCCTGGGGAGACCTGGGCCGCAGGGCCCACCCTGTCGCTTCCCACCCACTGTCTTCTCTAGAGCAGCGACTTCCCCTGGAAGTCCTCCACCACCCAGGCCTTCATCGGGGGCCCCCACCCTCTCCTTCCTGTGCCCTGAGACCACAGGCCACTCTATCCCCTCAGGGTGACTTCAGGTCCCTTTTGTTACCTGAACAATAAGTAACCCAGGTAGTTAGTTATAAACTCTGCAGGAACAAGGAGCTGGTTGATAATTTATAGCAACATCTCAAATTTAAATGGAAAGTAAATAGCATGCTGTTAGCATTAAAGAAAACCCAATCTGGGCGGGCGGGGAGCACTCCAGCCTCCTCTCAGCTTGGGGCGCCTCACTCTCCCCAGCCCCTTCTCCAAGCTGGGTGCGAGCCCTTTCCTCTGCTCCGCTGCTCAGCTGGCTTCTCCAGGCCTCTCCCCATCTCCCCTGCCGTCCTCTTTCTCAGCTCCCAGGCCTCGGCTGGTCCCAGGGAGCACTTTGCCCTCTGCTCCCCCCTCAAGTGCTGTGGATCAGGCCTCCCCACCCACCAACCCACCAAAGGGACTGCTGAGCAAGAGGCCCCACCCAGCCAGGTAAGAAGGCCCTGGGCGCCCGTCTTCCACTCCCACCTGAAAGCCCCATCCCCATGGGGGTCCTGAACAGCCCCAGCCCCAGCCCCAGCCCCAGCCCCAGCCCAGCTGCCCTCACCCTGGGTCTGCCTGGCCTGCCCCTTTGCCCCTCCCCTGCAGCCCAGCAGGGCCCTTTGCCCTCCACTTCCTGCCAAGTCAAGGGGCCCATCTGCTCCCCTGCCCACTGCCCAGGCCCTCACAGCCGACCCTGAGGACTCCCAGGCGGGGACCCAGCCCTCCCCCACCCGAAACTGGGATCAGGACCTTGGACAGAAGAGAGATGGTCCCTGAAGCATG